AAAGGTAGGGCTATGGATGGGTTGCTGTGGACTGGAAAATTGGGAACTATGGATGACTATGGCACCTGCCGAAACAATGTAATTATTACACGTAAAAATGGCAGGCGGAGACTCGCCAACTCACCGACCGGGCCCCGGGAATGGTTGCTAGATATAGCAACAGAAGAGCAACGAGAATGTGAATGGCTGAAGGGTTAAGAAACTACCACCGCTTTCTACTCAGATCATCTGCTCCAGCCGAAGCCTCCTGCATCCCTTTTTTTTTTTTTGTTGACGGGGGGAAACCTTCCATAGGCTTTTTGGGGAAAAAGACTAGGGAGTGTGGGATTTTTACCTCACTAAAACCTCCCCGGTGGCCACCATCCGCACTTGAAGGGGGCACCGGGTCCTCTTAGTAGACCAACTCCGGTGTTCTCATAGTGCAACGCCTGTTACGGGACTTCCCTATGGAGACCTATGTATCTCTCCTAGAGCCTCTCTGTGCACTGCACGGCGGCACGTGACCACTGTGCCGCCGTCATTCTTCAGGTCATTAGGTGGACGCCTAGATAGCCTCTTGCATCCCTGGCCCACTCGCGACTTACGAATAGTTTCTTACCCTCCGAGCAGGATCATTGCTCTCGCGACTCCACTCTGGACGGCCAATGAAGGCAAGCCAGAGGTGGGAGACCTGTTCCTTGTCATCGTTCACTCCAGCCAGCCAATTAAGGCAAGCCGGAGAAGAAGGAACGGTGACTTCTCCCTGGAGCACTCGGGATGATGGTAGGCCGCGGGGTCGCTAATGCCCGTCACCTCGCCTCAAGGTGCCCTGCGGGCTATTATTATTATTATTATTATTTCTTGAACCGTTTATAATTCTCCCACCTTAGTGGGGTTCATAAAAAGCACGGGCCGAAGCCAAGTGCGGTTAATTAAATTGAATGTTATTTCTAAGTGTTTAAAATTACTGCCTTCTGAAGAAGGAGGTAGGTTGATGGGCTAATATTTAACTCTTTAAGACTATTATGGAGAGTTTTTGGGATAACCCCCGTGGAGGATAAAATTATTGGAACAGTTTTGGTATGGGTAATCTTCCACTGAGTTTTTATTTCTAATGATAAGTCTGTATATATATTTTGCTATTTTTTCGGAGTGTGTGGTAGTGAGATTATGAGTGTTGCAAATGGCTATATCTATTATGTATACTAACTTTTTTTGTTTATCTAGCATGGTTATGTCAGTTGTCAGTCATTGTTGTAGATTGTTTTATCTGTGATAATGGTTATGTCCCAATATAATTTAAAATGTTCGTTTTCTAATACTGCTTGTGGCTTATATTTGTAGTAGGGTACTTTATCGGTAATCAATTTAGTTTGTATGGCTAGGGATTGGTGAATTATTGCGGCAACTTGGTCATGGCGGTGTTTGTAATCAGTCTGGGCTATGGCTCGGCATGCACCTGTGATATGTTGGATAGTTTCTGAGGCACCGTGACATCGTTTACAGGAGTCATTATAGTTGGGTCTACGGATAATGATTTTTGATAGTTGGCTGTGTCGATAACCTGGTCTTGAATGGCAATCATAAATCCCTCCGTTTCAGGGAAGAGTTCACCTCGCCGCAGCCACGCGTTCGATGCTTTCATATCGACATGAGGTTGCTGCAGGTCGAGGCGATGTCTCCCGTGGAGAGATTTATGTGCCCAAACTGCTATTTTATCTGATTTGCTAGTTATGGATTCATTACGTTGAGGGTCAGTAGAATTTAAATTAAGTGGAGTATATTTTCTACATATCTATCTGGGAAATTGCTTTGTGAAAAAGACTATTTTGAGATTTGATCATGAAGAATTTTCTTAAATTAACAAACTGCTGATTATGTAAATTTGTGATGTCTATGAGGCCTTGCTCTCCCTCGTCTCGCGGTAATGTAAGTCTTTGCACACAAGATCTTGGGTGGTGTTTTCTATTCGTGGTCAAAGATGTATTTATTAGCCGTTGTAACTTAGTGAGATCGGTTTTTGACCAGTTTATGATTCCGAAAGAATAGGTGAGTACGGGAATAGCGAAGGAGTTGATGGACTTAATTAAATTACGGGATGTTAACTGCGATCAGGGTGCTTACTCTTGAATCCAATTCCGATCGATCGACATTGACATTGTGAAATTTCGTACTCTTGAGTTGTAACACTAGCGCCTATTGCATCCGTATTGCGTGGATATTGAATGAACTAAATAGTATTGAGTTTCGTTTTATACTCCGTACTCTAAATGCTACTTTAGCAGCTACGATAGAGGTTGTATAGTTTTGACATTGGATAATTATTGAGATTTTATTAGATTGAAATTGCATTGACATTGAGATTGGTTTCAAGAGTAAGCACCCTTATCAACATGTTAAGCCTGCGTTTGTATTTAGCGATTATTTTATTCTTAGTGTATTTCTGATCAATTTGATATGTTTGTTCAAAGCCTAAATATTTGTATGTACAATTTTATGTCATCGGTTCAATGGACTGTCCTGAATCTAGTATGTATGGGTTATGTTCAATATGCTGCCCTTTACAAAGGGTAAATGTTTTACATTCGTCGATACCAAAGGTCATGCGTATGTCATCCGAGAAAGTTTGTGTGAGATCTGCAAGAGTGTGGAGCCCAGGTGTACAGTTTGATGTCATCCATGAACATTAGATGAGTTAATTTGAGATGGAGTCATCATATTGTATTGTGAGGCCAATTGTAGAAGAGTTAAGAAGGTTAGACAGGGGATTTAAAGCAAGGCAGAACCAAAGAGGGCTTAGAGCATCCCCCTGGAAAATTCCTCGTCTAATGGATATAGGGTCTGTTTCTATTAATTTTCCTAACTTAATTTTCGTGTTCCAATATTTCATGGATTCTGTCAAGAATTGTATGATAGACGGATGGATTTTATAATAGTGTAATATGTAGACTAACCAACTGTGTGGGACTGAGTCAAAAGACTTCTGATAGTCGACGTACATAGTGCAGATATCGGATTTTAATTTAACGTTATGCTTTATAGCTATGGAATCTATTATCAATTGTTCTTTACACCCCTGGCTATATTTACGACATCCTTTTTGTTCCTCCGATAGAATGTTATTATGTGTAATGTGTTTATATATTATTTCTGAGATGCAACCGGTAATTAATTTGTATATAGTTTGTAGGCAAGTTATAGGTCTATATTTAGCTGGGTTAGCGTGGTCGGAGTCTTTGGGGATCATGTAAGTTAAACCTTGTGTAATGAATTTTGGTATTGACTGAGGGTTTTTGATAAAATTATTAATATGATTGTAGAGTGATGGATGTAAATAAGTAAATTTTTTATAAAAGTAGTTATGAATTTTGTCAGTACCTGGGGCCTTCCAGTTATGCGCTTTCGTAATAACGCTGACAAACACTTCTAATGGGATTGCATCAAATAACATAACTGGTAAATTTTCTAGTTTTTGTTTGTCATCATGTATCCACGTAGCGGCATGGTTGTGTTCTGATGCATTTGACCAAATATTGGACCAGTAAGTATGAAACTGTTCAGAGTTTGGACTAAGATTATCTGACGTCTGTTGTCGGCTTTGTGTGTTTGTTGTATCAGTAGCTAGGGTTCTATAAAACTGCCTTTCACTATTAGTGAATTGGGAGTTTTGATTTTTACGCTGAGTACACTCATAGTATCTACGGCGTCTATCCATAAACTGTTCGTTTGTTGTGTTTGGTTCCTCATAGCTAGTGTTTACTGTATTTATGTTTTATTCTTTCTATATGTGTGATTAAGTTTACATTAATGTATTGTGTCATTCTGCCTATCTCTTTACGAATAATGTGTATCTTTCTATCTAGCCGCTTCAGCCAGTTTGGTCTATTGTCTACTGGTGAGTTTTGCTGTGGTGTTGAAGGTACTGCTTGGTTTTGTTCTTTGATTTTG